GCACCCCCCAAACGCTGACACCACCCTTGCTCTATCAGTGGGGAAACTGAGGCACAGAACCCTGCATTGCCATCACTCACTGGCCATGGCCTCAGAGAGCATCTGCTCTCCTGGGGGAACTGCAGCACACAGGGGTACCTTGAAGGGGATCCCCTATGCACTGGGGGCCTGGGGACAAATTGGAGACCCCCACCTGGAGACCCCTGGGATGCACCATCGTAGGGATGACAATGAACCCCTGGGTGCTCCCCCAGTGCAGCGTGGCCTCGGACATCCTAGGACAGGAGGGTGACAGGGGGCTGCGGGCTCCCTTTGGCCTGGGAAAGACATCTGGGGGGATGAAGGAAGGGTCCTTTTGGCTGCCACTTCCGCTTCATGCTGGGAGAAGATTTTGCAACATTTCCTCCCCGGGCAGTATAAAGAGGGTGGTGGAGGAAAGGGGTACTGGGAGGCGGCAAGGCAGCCAGCGCAGGTGAGGGATCCTCTGGCTGGAGAAACCCCTGGGTCTGGTGCTGCCCTGCATCCCACCACGCTTTGTACCGGCGCCTTTTGGGGGTGACATCTGGATTTAAACCCGTGCCTGTGTGCTTCCCAGTGAGAAACAACTTAGGATCAGGAGAAGACCCCACATTTGAGGGGACGGCGACAGCAGCAAGCAGTGAGTCCATGGGGTGCGCCACTGGAGATTGTAGCTTTCCTTGGGCTTTGACAGCCCCATAGCACCCATCTGAGCACCTTCACATGGGGAGCAGGCTCGGGGCTCGGGTGGGTTGCTTCAGCTGCCCAAGAGGCTGTTTGGTACAAGGGTAGAGGGAGGTGGTGGGTGGGAGCACCCAAGCCTGTACTGAAGGCTCATCTGGGGTGCAAACCCTCCATAGTCCCCGGGGACATCAGCCTTGTGTGCTGCGGGGGAAAAGTGCCTGCTCCCATTTCCTTGCACAGTGATGAGCTGAGAGGATCCTTCCCCATGCAATGTCCCTCGTTCCTCCCCACTAGGAGCCCCCAGGGCCACCCCATTGTCCCCAGCCCTTCCAGGGTCAGGAGGGGAAATGGAATGCTGCTTGTTCCCCCATCTGGGCCAGCTGTGGGGTATCTGTGCGTGGTATACCCGGGGAATACCCTGTTCCAGAGGAACTAACAGAATTTTGGAGTGGGGAGGCAGAAAGCAGCAGCCAGAAATAGATGGAGGGGAAGCACTGGCATCAGGCTCTGCCCCATGACTGTGGCAGCCCCACTTGGGAGGACACTCCCCCATCAGCACTGGCAGCATCCCTGGTTGTGGTCCTTCGGGATGCTGATGCCTCAGCATCCCAGCATCACCACCCTGGCATCACCATCCCAGGAATTCCATCCCTGGATCACTACAGGAGGATACAGCAGAGGCAGGGAGAAATTTTTCTGGGCAGCAGCACCAGCCCAGCTGCAGCAGGGAATTCATACCAAGCAAAAGGGAAAAGTTGATTTGGATGGTTTGGGTTCAAACAGGGCCAGCTTGGAGCTGGGTGCCTCCAGCACTGGGAGGACTCAGCACCCCAAGCAGTCCTGGCATCTCCAAGACCTGGAGAGGTTGGGGGCTCGGAAATGGGACAGAGGGGTGACACTGGAGTGGAACAAGAGTCCAGATCCATTCTGGGAGAAGACTGAAAGGCAGTGGTCTTTGAGAAGGCAGGAACAGAGCAAGCTCACCATCTCTTTCATGTGAGGAGACAGAAAAAGTGACTGCCACCTGTAATTTCCCCATTGAGGCCAAACACAGGGGGACACAGCAGTGCCCAGCTGAGCAACAGGAAAACCAGAGATGTAATATTTCCAAAGCTGCCTGCAAAGTGTGACACGTCTTTCCGTCCGGGGCTTGAAACCACTCCTGCAGGAACGAGACCAGGAGGTGGAAGAAGGGCACAAAAACACCTTCAGACCTTTCTTGAGTTCTGCCTGCTTCAGGCACTGTGACCACAGCCTTACTGCTGTGGCAGTAAGGTGGCAGGAGGGGCAGCTCCGTTCCAGGCATCACAGCAGCAATGCTTGAGGGGGTGGAGAGGCTGGAGGGATACAGGGCTACTTGAAGAACTTTGGATGTGCCTGAGGGGCTCTGAGATGCCCAAAGAGCTGAGAGGCTTTTGAAAGACCCACAGTAAGCAGGGGAGCCCAGGGTTTCTGGAGGAGCCAGGTGTCTCCTGGAGGGATGTTATTCTACATTGATGGGGAAGCCCCCCAAACTGAGAAGAGGTGATCAGTCTATGGGGAACCCCTTCTTCCACAGGAGTCAGGAAAGGGACAGGATTAGGGTGAAATGCAGGAGACTGAGGTTTGCAGGGGGTGTTTTACAAGGGGGCATATGAGGAATAGTGTCTACCTGCAGCACTGACCATTACCTGGCACAGTGTGGATGCTGTGTCCTCCATCATGGTGGAGTGATGAAGGACCGCTGCCCACTGGTTGGAAGGGGACCTGGGGGACAATGTAAATGCCAGAGGACCTAGAGATGCTGTCACCCATGGTCCACAACATTGCCACCCCACACTCATGCAACTTTGTGCTCCACAGGCAAAATGGAGTCCTTGTCCTACAGTGGAGATTTCTCCAACATCTTATACCTTTACAACTACACCTATGACTACAGCACAGCCATGCCTGACACTGCTATTTCATCCTCTCCGTGCCGGCCTGAAAGCTCTGTCCTCAACAAGTACCTGGTGGTGGTGATCTACTGCCTCGTCTTCATCCTCAGTGTGGTGGGGAACGGGCTGGTGGTGCTGGTGGTGACCTCCAGCCACACCAGCCGCTCTGTCACTGATGTCTACCTGCTCAACCTGGCTGTGGCAGACCTGCTCTTCGCTTTGAGCCTGCCACTTTGGGCAGCCTACCGAGCCCACGAGTGGGTCTTTGGCACTTTGATGTGCAAAGCCATCTCCGTGCTGCAGGAAGCCAACTTCTACAGCGGCATCCTTCTGCTGGCCTGCATTAGCGTGGACCGCTACCTGGCCATCGTCTATGCCACACGGGCTGCCACTGAGAAGAGGCACTGGGTGAAGTTTGTCTGCCTGGGCATCTGGGTCTTCTCCATACTGCTCTCCCTGCCCGTGCTGCTCTTCCGTGAGGCTTTCCACTCACCCAACAATGGCACCGTGTGCTATGAGCGCATCAGTGGTGAGGAGACGTCCAAGTGGCGTGTAGTGCTGCGGTTCCTGCCGCAGACATTTGGCTTTGTCTTGCCCCTCCTGGTAATGCTCTTCTGTTATGGTGTCACCATCCACACCCTCCTACAGACCAAGAATGCTCAGAAGCAGCGGGCCATGAAGGTCATCTTTGCCGTGGTGCTGGTCTTCCTCATCTGCTGGCTGCCCTACAACATCACACTGGTGAGCGACACCCTCATGAGGACGCAGGCCATTGCCGAGACCTGTGAGAGGAGGAACCGCATCGACACAGCCCTCTCTGTCACACAGGTCCTGGGCTTTGCCCACAGCTGCATTAACCCTATCATCTACGCCTTCATCGGTCAAAAGTTTCGCAACAGCTTCCTCAAGATCCTGGCACAGCGTGGGCTGATCAGCAAGGATGCTGTTGCCCGCTATGGCCGCACCTCCTATGCCTCCACCTCTGGCAATACATCCACCACCCTCTGAGCCCTTTTGGGACCCACCCTTTGGGGTACCAGCAGGTCCCAGCACCCCACACAACTCAGCATCCTCATCCAGCCCCCTGGAATGTGGGTGGTGATGCCATGGGGATGGGCAGGGCCACCACTGGATGCTGGATCCCAACTGGAAGGGGGCTTGGGTGGCAGCTGGTAGGACCCCATTGCCAGGGAAGTGATGTCAAGTGTCCACCTTCCCTCTCTTTGGGACAAAGCCTGTGACCCTGGGGATCCTGTGAGACTGCTGTGGGGATGGTGTTTCTACCCAATGACCATCCAGTAATAAAGGAGTTGGTGGGTTGGTCACCCATGTCTGGCTTCTCTTTGCTATGGGAAGGGAGATCCCAGGACAGGGCCAGGACACCTCTCTGGGGACAGAGTCAAAACAGTGGTGCCTGCTGAGCCTGTCAGAGTGTGGGTAACCCTTCTTCCAGGACTGGGTTTGGCATCCTGTGCATCCTCACAGGGGATCCAAGCCCAGGTTTTGTTTCCTACAGCTCCCCAGACAAGTCCTGGCACTTTGATGGTACAGAGGTCTCTACAGGGAATCTATCCCATCTGGGGACAAAGTCATTCCCTTCCCAGCCCCAGTCTCAACCCCAGCAGAGCAAATCACTGTAAGATCTCTGAGCAGTCCCTCACACCAAGCCAGCCTTGTGACCCCTGCCTGAAGGGTGCCAGCACCCCAGGCACCCCTGCTCCCCCCAACCGTGGTGTCAGGACATTGTTGCGCAAAGAGCTGGGAACCTGTCCCTTACACAACTGGGATGTTTCCGCCCTGCCTTGGGCAACTGGGGCTGACACTTGACCGGGGTTGAGCAGATGAAGAAGGGACTGTGACCCTGCTGGCCACTCTGTGTTCCAGGCTTCAGGATGCCTGCCCCAGCACACCTGTGCATCTTTCCACTGGAGTCCCATACTGCTCCTCCACTGACCTTGATCCAGGCTCCTAGGGGTCCATAACCATGGGGACATCAGCGGATGTCACCCATGTGCTGGCTCATGGGTGGGTATGGGTGTCCCCAACACCCAGCTGGGAACCCTGGGGCCTTAGGGCAGAGCAGAATCAGTGGGGGTGCTGAGCAAGGACAGCCCTTTGCATCTTTGCATCTGAGAAACCTCTTGCCCAAGTGTTTCCTCGCAGCATGGTAGGAAGCCAGGGTTGTTGGCCAAGAGCTGTCTGCTCTCCCCACTGTGGGATGATGCAGACAGTGGCTCACCCTGGCTGCAGCTCGGACACCCTTTTAGGGGATGGATTCCCCGAAGGAGGACTTGAACAACTCCATGTCAGCATTCCCCACCCTGCACCCAACCCGAGTGTCAATCTGGCAGTGACTGAGAGATGACACGGAAACCACAGGGGTAGCAGAAATGAGTAGTTTTCCTCTTTGTGGACCAGCCGCAAGAAAGACACATGTCAAACCCAAAATGTTGGGCAGCAGGACCTGCATGCAGGCCCTGGACACCTGGGTACCCAATAAGTCCAAGAGGAGGCAGCCAGGACAGAAGGTGTCCCAGACACGGTGCCAGGGCTGCTGTCCCCGCTCACGTAGCTTGCGGTTGCCCTTGCTGGTAGCAAACCAGGCAGCAGCGGCCGTGCTTTCCCATGTCCACAGAGCACGTGTGGCACACCTTGCCCTGGCACAGCCTGCTGAGAGAGCAGGAGGTGAGAGCTGATCCCTGCACTGTGCCAGCGCCACCCCCGATTTCCCCCATAGCCCACCTGCAGCTGTACCGCCGGGAGAGGAGACGGAAATCCTTGCGGCAGCGGGCACACAACCCTGGGTCGCGGGGCACCGGACTGGGCATCGGGGTGTCAATGCCCTCTGTCTTCTGCCACAGGGCATCCTTCTCCCTGCGGGAGGGGACAGGTCGGCTCTGGATTTGCCTGGGCTCTGGTGCCCTCCTCTGGGCAAAGGGGTTGGGGTCCCCTTGCCCTTGCGCGGAGTCCCCGGGGCTCTCACCGCAGCAGCTCCAGCAGCCGCTCCTTCATGTCGCGGATGAGCTCCTGCTGCCGTGCCTGCTCGGCGCCGCGCGTCGCCTCCCGCTCCAGCGCCTCCCGCTGCGCCCGCTGCAGCGCCGATGCCCAGCGCTCACCGTCCTGCCGGGCCCTGGCGCGGGGCAGCGGCGGCATGGTCCCCCTGATTCTCAGCTG